TTCAAAAATTGCTGTGTTGTAGTATTGAAAATGTTTGTTTCCTGTAAAAGAATGATATCTAGTTTGTATGATTTTAATAATGTTAATGTTCTAAGTCGTTTGTCCGGATTATTTAAGCCTTTAACATTTAAAGTGACAATTTTGATTGATGTATTGTTCATAAAAAGAGTTAATGATTTTTAGGGCTTCCTCGGGCCCTTTGTTTCAGTTCATTATTTTGGTTTTCTTTGTTCACCATGCTGTAGAGTTTTGCATTCTTGTGTTTTCTTCTTTTTCTTACTATTAGTGTGAAAGCTGCATTTTCCGTATTTTCCTGATCAACTGTAAGATCCTTCTCTTGATTTATGTCCACATTTTCTAAAACTGAGTTGGTAGGACAATCATCTGTGATAAGCTCATTTTCTGCAAGTGGTTCTGTTTCGGCATCCATGTTGTTCATAACAAGGTTCTCTTCAGGTTTAGATGCTTGTTCTTGGTTAAGTGCTGTCTCTGCAGTATTATTTTCTGCTATATCTTGTATTGTAGTATGTCTCTTGTCTGTATCCATTACATTTTCTGTAATGATTTCCTCTGGGGTCTCGACTAGATTCTTTTTTTTGTTTTTAAGTTCTTGGAAGTGTTGTCTTAATTTTTTTACCTCTTGAAATTGCAAGCAGTTCTTCTTAATATGACCTGTTTGATCACAGAAGTAGCATACTTTTGGTGCTTCTTTCCATTCAGTTGTGACTCTGTTGTCTTCAATAAATGTGAAGCGAGGGAGTCTCTGCTCTAGCTCAGAGTCTTCTGTATTATCAAAGATAACAATCCATTGGTCTGTCATATAAGGAGTGCCTTCGATAAGTAATAGTTTAATCGAGGAAATTTTTCCGAAATTTTCGAATGCTTTCTTAACCATTATAGAGACTTGTTTTTTGGATCCTAAAGGGACGTTTCTTACTTTTACTGAAAGAAATGATTTGCGTGCATCTGTAGGAATATATTCATAATAAGTTTTATTAAAGATTTTAATTTCTTTAGTAACATGATATGCCAATCAGTCTTGATTTAGAAAACCAATTTCGAGATGAGTTCTCAGGCCCTTTCTAAAATGCTGTTTGGCAGCTACGATATCTTTTTCTAGTTCTTCATGCAAAGAAGCCATAATTTCATTAAGAGAATTATGGAGACTAGCGATTTCAACAATCAGTGTGTTGTTGTTTTTAGATCTAACTTGGTTTCTAGGTGAAAAAGCAACAAAGGTTGATTTTCCTCTTTTCAATTTAGCAGTCAGGTTCATGCCTTGTTTGGTTACTGAGGCATAGCTTTGAGTAACTTTGCCTGCAGATTGGCTTTCTCTAGTAACACATGTTTCAACTGTTGTACCTAACACGTGACTGTCTTTGTTGTTGTTTTCATTTAGATCACCTGTTTTGTTTCTATGTCTAGACATGTTTTCTAAAGCCCAAGCACTTTTTTCATTTTGTATCAAGTTTTCTAACCAGTCTTCCTCATTTTGAACTACAACAACTGATACTAGCTCTTTATTTTTTGTTGGTTCCATTATTTCTTGAGCTGTTAAAGTGTGATTAGTATTTGTGTTATTCATTTTTTCTATAAAAGAGTTGTTTGTATTTTCTTCTTTTTCAAGATCAAGTTTTTGTATTTTGAAGATTTTTTCTGTTGGCAGTGGCTCCACTCTTCGAGGAAGCTTTCTTTTTCTTGGGACAAGGGCTCTGGCCCTTGTTAGTATCTTATTTGATAAGTTTTGGTTTCTTTTTGTCGAGATTATGATTGTTGTTTTTTATTCGCCTTTTTCGATCTAGTGTGAACAGAAAAGAGTTTTCACCTGATAGCAAAATTTGAATAATCACCTATGTAATATATAAACAATATTATAGTAATAGTATTCTGTTGATTAGTTAGGACAGAATATCTGTAACTATGGTTATACTAGCATAACTGGCAGGTTTGTGGCATTTGTGTAATCTGTTATACAGAGAAATGCGAACTGGTACCAGGCATTGCAAATCTAAAATAAGTCCTCGAGCCATATAAATTTGTAGAACTAAGAAACTGAAGCTCACTTAGAAATTCTAAGCAAAGAGATAGCACAAATTTTCAGCAGTACTACTATAAAGACTAGATCTAGATAATAGATATCAATGTAAAGGAATCAGGTAGGCAAGAACCTTGAATAAGGGATATTACCAACTAGGCCATATGATTTTAGACTAAAGAAAAAGAATATTAGGCTGACCTTAATATATTAAGAACTAGGGATGATAAATGACCTGAAATAACCTCATAACTCAAATGAATAATAACTAGTTACTGGTCATTTAAAAGATGAAATAACCTGTTAGGTCATTTGGTCATTTAAAAATTTTATATACTTTATTATTAGAATTAAAGATAAAACATAATTAGTTACAGTCTTAATCAGTTATTATATCTGAATAAAATTAATACACGTGTTGTACTATATATAATCAATCAGGTTATTTAATTGTATAAATTTAATGTAAGTATAGACTTTAAAAACCTGATAATTCAAGTTTTAACACTAAACTTTAAATTAATAACTTTTGCAGTAGCACAAAACAATTCAGCTTATTTATTAAACTATGTGAATTATATACTTAGCCATTTGCACTTAATTTATATTTGTTTATTCATGCAATTTAACTTTAAAATAGATTGAATAGTATCATTTTTCAATAAAATATAAAGTTATTAAAATGTACCTTGCAAAGTTTTGATTTATTTCATGCAACTGAGTTATGTATTTTTAACTTTCATGACCAAATTAGTATTTGCCTACTTATTACATAAATTCCAAAATATTGTAGTGATAAAACTATTTCTATACTACAAAATAACATGAATTATTTAAATTTGTTAAAGTTTAAAAGAAACAAAGGCTTCTAACAAATCATTTAATAATTCTAATAAATTTCATTTTGCTGATGAATCATCTGCAAAATAAGTAATGCATCTACCCAATTCAAATTCAAGTTCTTTATTTGTAATTTCATTATTGCCAAGTTCTTTATCATTTACTGTATTAATCTAATTTTCAATCATAAATAACTAATTCTCTTTATAGAAAGTATCAGAGTTATTAATTATATCCTTATCTGCTTTAGAAGTTTTGTTTAGATAAGTTTGTGAATTGTCAAAAACTGGTATATTGCTTTTCTTACTGTTATTCATAATGCATAAAAAATATTCTGTTATTTCTTTTTGTGCTCTATCTTCTTGTGCTTTATCTTCTTGTGCTCTATCTTCTTGTGCTCTATATTCTTGTGTTTTATCTTTTTTCATTCTATCTTTACTGCTATTGTAAGGTTGAATAGGTATTGCAATATGAATTTATTTATATTATTGTTCAGCTTTTTCAGCTTCCTTACATTTTCGCTTACTTAATATATCACTGCACAGTTGACTCATAGCTAGTACTTTTTTACTCTTAAATTAATAATTAAAAATTAGTAATATAAGTAATAAAAATATTCTAAGTCATTGGGTATTAGCAAACATAAAGCTTTCACTTGTACAGTCATCTCTTATTTATATCAACCTATTTAAATCGCTTTTAGATAGTGATATTAATAAGAGAACATATTAAAGTTAATATATATGAAGGAGTTTTAATATAATTTTAATATATAGAAATTTTTAGATTAATATTAATGGGGTTGATATTAATAAAGGATGACTGTACATATACAGATTAGGTATTTTACTAAATATCCATGATCTTGATAAGGATTTAAATTATTAAATTAAATAAAGTTTACATACTGGCAAGCAATTTTAGCATTTTGTATATAAAAAACCTATAGTTGATCACAAACATTCAACTGAAATGGAATTAATGCAAATGCTAAATAATTGTAGAGCCAATCGAAATAACTCTGGTGCCAGACCCTTTGCTGAGTCCCAAAAATTGACAATATTATCATTGAACTGATCATATATTTCACAATCAAAAGAAACAGTTTTTTTTGATATAACAAAAAATCACACAAAATACATGTTGGTGTTTTATGAAACTATGCATAATAGTAGTAGTTTAACTATTAACTGAAGTGTGAATAGGAGAAACCAGAAACATTAGTAGAAAATTTTGAGAGCTAATATTTTAGATGTAAAACAAATAATAGAATTGTTCCTATTGTGCCCATAATTTTTCTAGTCAAGCCATCATATGTTCAGAAAAGTCCTTATCCTTACAATCTACAAAAACTTTGATGAGCCACCCAAAGCAATGCACAATTTCAAAAAGTCTTGCAATATTTTTTTGAAGTCAATTTAATATTCTATATAATGAAAATAACAATCTTAAAGTTTATAAAGCTGAATCCAAAAATTAGAATCTTGTATTATCAACATAATGTCAAATGAAAGTGTTTTGATTTTACTAGTATTATCTGATAAAAATCATTAATGTGACTGCCTACTCTGAGAAGTACTTGCCATCCCAATTCTTGTTAATGCAAATTTCGTAGCCAGCATCTAATTGTAAAAAAAAATAATATAATGCATTAAAATAATTAATTACATTTTGTTTATTTAAAAAAAAAACCTACTTTAAGTGCAGATTTAGTTTTTAAAATAAAATGAAAGCAAAAATAAAAACTGTTCTAGCACATTTCAGCAGATATTATAAGAGAAATAATTTGACCATAACAAGACATTTGTTCATTTTGTAATAATCCAATAAAATATAGAGAAGAATAAAAGTAGCTTATAACATGTATTGCACTTTTGAATATTTTTTTATATATATCAGATGCCTTGAAAATATTTCCAAAGACTAAGTTTATTTGAAGTGCCATGCAAGACAAAAAGATTTTATTAGAAAATTTAACTTTTAGTTGTCATCTATAAAAAGTAAATGCAAAAAAAAATTAAAATAATTTTTACTTAAATAAGAATATCTGTAATAAGATATTAATATTTACCTTGCAGCTGCATATTTATTAGCAGAATTTGATACATAACAATTAATTATTATATTTTTTTCTTTTACACTATTCATTATATCTTTGATGAGAAGTTTTATATCTTCAGTTTTTGATCGTTAATTACTAATATTACATGCATTTCAAATCAAAGCTTCACCCTAAGAAGTGATCAAAATGGTACCAAAAAGATGTTCCTGCTTGATATTAGTCCAGCTATTGAATGCTGCTGTTACTTCAATTTTATCTTCACTTGCATGTTGCAAAATATCTTTAGCCAACTTTTTTGAATACATTAAAAGAATCTGATTACTTATTGCCCATCGATTTGGTAACTTTAAAGATGGTGCAATAAAGTTAAAACCTTTTGCATTTCATAATTTTCTATGAAAGTAAAAGGAAGGCCATTTGATATGATTATATATAATATCAAGTTTTCAAAATGTAGTTTATTCTTCTTAGATAATGAACATGTAATATATTTATTAACTGATGTTTGCCTTTTTGGCAAATTAGTTTTTAAAGTTTTAAAGATTGTGGAAATTGTAAAGGAAATTTCATCCTCAGATGTAGAATCTAATGATTTATTAAGAAATTAATGTATGGGCAATATAAGTTAGCACTTAAAATCATTGTGTAATTATGATACTATAGTATAATTATCTTTATTGCTTTTTTTTTTTTTTTTAGTATCCTCAGGTACTGATTGTAAAAGAAGCTTCAAAACTTCATCTTTGTTATACTTTGCTTTAAAGTTTAGACAATCTCTAAGATGGCTTCAACATAATTTCACTTTGTTAAAAACAAAGCAGTTTGGATTGATAAGAGCAATAAGTAAAGTATATTTTTGCATACATGACAGACAAACTGCCTTCTTATTTGCTTTGGAATTATCAGGTTCAGCCAAATGAAAAATTCTCTAAAGTTATGTTTTTGTCTACTCATTAATATTATAAAAAAAAAAAAAAAAAATTTTTTTAGATCGAAAAAAAAAAAGTATTACATATATAAGATGTTTAACATGTTTAATTTCCAAATATGATAAATTAATATAATAATATGACATGTCATTTAATTCTATACAAAATATCCTTCAGTAGATTCTACCATCTTTTTGAGAAGTTGATAATTGTTTAAATATTTACTGATTCTAACACTTATACTATAGTCAACTTTAATAATGTTCATAGAACATAAAAAAAATCTAGGAGGTTTTTTTTTATTGCTATTTGAGATAAGGTAATTCCTTACAATATAAAAAATTTTTTATGATTCATTATTTTGTGGTTTACTTGTTTTACTACCACTTTTCTTTTTTAATTGCTAACATCTTATTTGCAATTTATACTAGCTTACACAATAAAGAAGTAAATATATATGCATTTATTAGGAATTGGATACTAATACTAGTTACTATTCTCTTTTTTTTATACAATTTTTCTCACAATTGATAACATATTTTTATATATTAAAAGCAAAAAATGTTCAAAAATTAAAGTTACAATAACAATATATATAGTTTATTTTTTTATATTGTTATAGGTGAAAGCCTTCTTAATTTTTACACTATAATGATGACATGGCATAAGGAATCTCTTACGAGTATATGTAGTGTCCAAGAGGGAAGTATAGCTTCTGTTAGATGTTGTCAAGAAACTATACCCTTCTCTGAGGCAGTTCAGGAAAG